GCGAGAACAATAGTTTTAACGTCGGGGCTTTGTTGTTCGCGTTCAACTGACGTCTAGCCCCGTTTATTCTTGTTTTCAGAGAAGGAACAAGATCTATTACAAGACATTTCTTTGTGAGTAGCATGTGTGATCTGTGGTTGGCACAGCGGTGTTCGAAATAGGAAGACTTTTGACGAGACAACACAGCAACCAGACTCGTAAGTAAGCTTTTGATCTTTGTTTTTTTAGCTTTTACCATGAATCGGACTGGGTGAAGAAATGGGTGGATTTCTTCAATTGTGCTTTTCAAATTACAGACATTGACTTTTTAAACTCTTGATTTCTCGTTCAAAGTTAAAAGGAATACCGATTAGCAATGAAACAAGAAGACGTATTGTAAGATTTATTAAAATTGCTTGCTTTCTCTAAATAGTTACGACGGCAATATATGGCATAATAAGTCGATAATGCCGTTATTTAACGGTCAGGCAGTAAAACCCGACTAAAGATCAGTGTTTTCAATACTTTGACGCAGCTATCCTTATTTTACTACACCTTGAAGAAAATGTCGAGTTTTGTTTTTGACAGCTTTTCGCACTTATTCCAAGTGCTTCGCATTTTTCTCGCTCTTGTACAAATTGAATTAGTTGTATTGACCTTTCCGTGGTGGTCACCAGTTGCCACCTGTGCCATGTTAGATGGGAGAACGAGCGTCCCTTTGCCATGGCAACCATGTTAGTAAACTTTGACAACGGGAATGAAGTTTGCTTTGAGAAAGTAATGTTATCACTGTGAGTCTAGATGCGAGGTAGATTTGTATAGAAAACGCATTTTGGTTACTGTTGTCTTTCGTGCCTTCTCGTTGTAAAGACGTTGTTTTTATGACAACTTCGAATGTGCATTATAAGGAACCGAGAAACCAACAGTGCATATATCAAAGTATTTTGTAATTGCTTCATATTTAACATTTCTGTTATTTTTGAATTGGTTATAAAATCAAGCTTTCCTATATTAAGAGCGCCCAAGGCTACAACAAAGGACTCCAAATTTGATTTTGTAAAAAAGTAAGTAAGAAACAGTAAAAGTACTGCTCGATACCTTCCATTTGAATGGTCACACATCAGGGCTTCACCCACAACCGCAAGTTTGAAGATAGGACAACTTTACCAGCATGCTACCATATAGAATTATTCTGTTCAATGTTTAACTTTCATTTGAATGCACATAGGCTAGCATTACATCGACAGAATTCAAAGCTAGAAAGACTTCAATTTTGTCTATGGGAACTACAAGCCGATTGCTTGCGATTAAGAACCATTAAGTACCCAGGGCGTTTTATTTTCTCCTGGCTACTTCAACGGGCAATCCAGCTTTGATGTTGAAAAATTTTATTTGTGCATAAAACCTCAGGCAAAAACTGCTATCCTTACTCCGTAGATTCATTTTGACAGATTTTCAGAAGGAGGGTTTTCAGTTCATATTCCCGCGTAATCACCGCGTAATCAAGAATGTGTGCTGATCTAGAAAAAAAAAAAAAACAAAAAAAACACGACCGAGTTTTAATACCTGCGCTTCAGCTCCAATTTGCTCTCAGTTAAAATCAAGTTTCAGTTTGTTGACTTTTCCGTTAAGTTTTTCTATTATTATTTTTGCTTTATATGTTTTTAGCGTTATTAGCGATTTAGTTGAACAATAGATATGTTGTTGATGTCTGGATATACTCTCATAAATCGTGAGTGCTTTGGTAGCCAGATTCTCAGAAGACATCTTCATTGTTGCGTTTATAAGTCTGTGATATTCATCTACCCTGTAAGTGCACGAGGAACTTTGATCTACTGTAGTTCTATCTCCACTGAAACTTACCACTTCTATATTTACTGATAGAAACCCAGACAACATATTGTTGTCAGTAACAGTATATGCAAATATTGTCGCTACGATCAATGTCTTTCAAGCAATTCCCGCCTTTTCACATTGCAAATTAAACACTCTTGACAAAGACTTGACTTTATTTTATGTTTTTGAATGATCTTTAGACTAGTGTTTAAAGAGTTCTTCTGAAAAATAATGTGAGCTGAATTGGCAAACACAAAAACTATCGCACAAAGATTGGTTCAGTTGTTTGCTGGCATTGTAATATACTAGTAAACCGTTTGGCACTTGTTACGTTGGACAAAAAGCCAAAAAGAATCTGTTTTTATTTCTTCCACATTTTATCATCATATTTTTTGTTTCATTTTTGCACTTTTCACTCGGAAATCTTATCAATTCTTTGATCAGATTGCAACTTATTTGCTGTTTCTAGAATTCTTAAAACACGGTGCTCTCCAATCTATAGATCCAAGTTTTTGTAACAGGAATCATTCTACTGATTGACTGATCAGGAATAAGTTTTGTATTCAAATTTCTAAAAGGGTCAACTGCACTTCTATTTGAATTAATTGGGAAGGCGTAGTTTTCAACAGGCCAAGTTTTCAAATGACTTTTAAAGCCCTCCTTTGAAAGTAATGTTGAAATGACTTTTAATTAAAGCTCTCCATTGAAAGTAAAGTCCAGTTATTTAGAACTCGACGGGGATTGTTTAACTTCGTGACCTAACCTTCTGATGAATTGAATGGTCTCTAACTAAGATAGTTTACTGCAAGACGGAATTTACAAACTCCTGGAAGAAATATAAGTTAAAATTGCAAATCAATAGCGTTAATCAGTGATAGGGGTTTTATAGTGGTTTTGTTCCGCTCAGCTTAGCGAAAGAAAGTGCACTTTTCTTGTAGTTCTATTTGATCGGCCATGCGGATTTGATTCTTTACTGAGGCTCTTTTGAGTATCACAGGCAATAAAACAGTATTTTTTCAGTATTTATCGTGTTTATGGAGGAAATTTGGCATGTTATTGAATCTTCTTCCACAACAAAAGTGATCCTTCCAGCGTAAAACATTTTCAGTGTTGCGAAGAGAGACAGAAAATTAATTAATGGCTAGTGAAGAGTACTCTGATGTGCACCATTTGAGCGGTTTTTCGCAGTCAGATTCACAATTGATGCTTTACGCAAAATCTTAAGTGAAGCCAGATAACTTATTAGAATCAGAATCGGCCGGTTTTTGATTGCTATCTTCCCCCCCGGATAAATTACATTTGCACAATAGTTGAATGTTACGATTGTTATCTAACAATGGAACTGACTGTTAAACTCACAACAAGAAGACATCGATATCACAACACCGAAATATTGTACAGCTTGCTGCTTTTGTGCGCAGAGAGGTGTCGAGTGAAAGAAAAGAGTCATAGAGCCAGGAAAAGACAATCACTAGAAAATGCCATTAAAAATTATCAACCTTGAAGTTATTCACTAAATCTTAATACGGTCAATCAAACATACAAGAGCGGGTTAAGTGAAAATTTCATTGATCAGTGATTCTAGGATTATAAACGACTGATCATGTTTAAGGATCGATGTGTAGAACCTACTAGAGAATGAAGTTCACAATCTTTGAATTTTTCTTCACATCATTGTCTCCTTGACCTCGATAGCTCAGTGTCCCATTGACACCTAAGTGTTTTATGACACTTTGGTATTGAGTAACATTACGTCAGAGCGCTTTCATTTTGCAAGACAAAACAGGGAATAAGATAATTTGGAAGTTTCGCATCACACGAGGAAGTCTTGAGTGAAATACTAAACGAAGCAAAATGTTGCAACGTCATGTTTGATCGGAGGTGAAAACCATGCAGGAAAAATCAGTGATTTGATCTTCGAGAGCGCGTGAATAAAAAAACTCCAATGTTTATTTGACCGTGTAGTCACACTCTGGCAACCTGCTCGCGCGGAAAACGGCGGGCGCTGATTGGCTGGTGGGAGTTCAGGGTCAACACATTACGTCATCGTATCTTAATGTTGTGTATCAAGTGTTTCAACTCTCACGCGGGGCCGGTGATGCCACGTTGAGCGCGTTACCATATCGCCGCTAAATATCGCGGGCTCAGTTCAGGCGCCGACGCTCGACCAATCAATCAATCAAAGTTCTCTTATTGTGGAGAGAATTCGCCAAGTCAGTTGAGCAAAGAGCGCGAACATCTTTCCTTTAGTGCCAGCCAAATATTTTGGGTTCTACGGGCTGACAACTGCAGGTTGGTTTTGCATAAGTGGATGTTTCCGTCATTGGCCGTGAAACTCTGTGTGGATCAAGTGGTTGTTTGATATCGGTGGGAATTGCCTCGGCTCTTCTGTCCATCCTTAGTTCGCTAGTCTTTTGACATCGGAGCACATTTCACAGGAGTGTGAGAACCGTTAGATTCGTGCGTGGTTGGTTTTCCGAACGGAGAGCTTACATCTGTTCAGGACGAAGAATTTCAAGGTGTTTTTTTATCTGTATCAGGACTTACATGATATCACTTTTAAAGGACCTTTCCTGCAGACATTACGGGTGACATATTTGCTAGTGCAAGTCTTGTCCCACCGATATCGACGATCTACTCCACTGAGCGGCGATATCATAGCGTTAAGTGAAGGTATTTTTAAGGGAAATCATGGTAAGTAAAAAGCTTTTATCTCTAAAACTTTCAACGGAACTGTCATACATCTGCTTGTGTACCTCGCGTTGGAGTAAGACTCTGTAATGAAGACTATCAGCGCGAAATAACTTTGGACGAACGAGTATGACATGAATGCTGTGTATTTACTCTCAAATTGATACTTTCCTTTTGCACGCTTTGGAATTGACATGATATCCACTTAAATGTGATTTCTAGAGGAAGAGAATTGTGCAGCTAAAATCTCGTTATATCTCGTTGTCTGGGATACAACAGGTGTAAGCTGAACCTGTCAATTTGGGGAGGGGAAAGGGTCGCTCAAACAAACTTAAACTTCCCTCAAAGGAGGGTTCCATTTTGTCTACAACTGTCAGAACTTCCTAGATGAAGAGTTAAATAGTCAAGTTTTATTAAAAAGGAAAGCCCGCGAAGAAGACTTTTTCCAAATCTCATTATTCTCGGCTGAAAGATCATCGTTAGCTAAAGATCCAAAAATTACAAACCAGAACTGGAAATGTCAAAATACTGCTTTGTGATTGGTCGAGTGGTGACAGATTTTGCACACCTGTCGAGCGGACCAGTCAAGAGAGTGTTGCCTTCCCTTCATACAAAACTACGTTATCCCCAAATAGTTTAGTCATGAGACAAAGATAATTAACAATTCATTCACCAGTTGTCTAATATATAAACAATTTACTGGTGGGATGAAGTCACGGTAGGCAGGCTAGATACCCCAACGCCCCATCTCCCGCCTATGTTGGACTGCCAGAAAGGGCCGGTCATTTGAAAATAGTGTTTTCTGTTTGTTCCCTAGGTCATGAGGATCGCATCCTTGGCGGTACTAGTCGCCATAGGCCTAGTCCATTTCGAACTATCGGTGAGTACTGGCTTTCAAACGATTCAGTAGTTTTGGTTTACAAGGCATGTCGGCTTAAGCGATCGAACGTTTGATCAATCGAACGATTGATCGATCGGTTGGTGGTTGATCAAGGGAGCGTATCAGTTTGGATGACTTAGTTCGTGCTTACACAAACTAACTATTTGCAAACGCTGAGAAATTAATATGACATCTTATGGTCGTAGTTCAGAAGTTTCTTACTTTTATGCATTTAATGCACTGCAGTATAATTTAGGTTTATGGTTATTATCTTTAACAGTCATTTTTAGCTTAGAGTGAAAATGGTCAAGTGGCGTCTTGGGTTAATGAATACACCGAAAGTTGTTCGGCGTTAAAGTTGATTATTAGGCAATGGCTAACAATTTATCTCAAGAATAAAAGGCTTTGTAGAAGAAGGCCATATAGATTATAACATATCGTTTGACTTTTAATCGTCTTGGTACCATTTGAAAATGTTTTGATCGCGCGCCATATTTGGTGTCGTCCCACCTGCTTGAACGCCAAATATGGCACAAGTGAAGTTAACTGTGAAAGGAGTTACTTGTTAATTTTTTACAATTACACGTCGTTCAGATCTTTTTTTTTCCCTCCGTTTACTTGCTATATTTCTAGCCAAAATTTCTTCTATATGAAGAGAACGACCGTGATTTTTAGAACGTTATCGAGTTGAAAACAGGACTGAAAGGTTTTGAGGGAAAAGACATCACAAACAAAGATTAACAAGTCAGTCCAGGAACAGCCTACCGCCTTATAAATCCTAGCCACGATCGATGTTTGCGGTGGTTGCGGTCGTTTTGGCGTCATTACATGCGGCCACACACAAATCGGTAACGACCTTCTTTGAACATAAGTGTGCTTGTAATTCAACGGTAAAATGGGGTTAATATCATGGTGGCGTGTGATATATTCCCTGGTGGCTACTGTGGCGGTAGTAAGCGGTAGTTCATAGCTATGTGTCTAATGGTAACTTTATCAGGCCGTTAGTTCGATTTACTGCGATTTTAGTAGTTATTACAAGAGAAGTCACGGTGGACCCATCTTTATATACCCAGTCAAATTGTCCTTATATTTTTATTGGTTTTTACCCATCTGTAGTTGAACCAGTACTGATATTAAAGCGCCGTATGCATATGTTAATCTTACTCTTCTTAAGTCTCTAAAGGTGTCTTATAGAATCTCTTAAATTTCAAACTCTCATTTAGAGCAATGTGCGTATTATCTAGATAGGCTGAGACTGATAAAAAAGTGAATGCACTAAATTGATTGATAGGGTATAGTACTGATCTCAGTTTATTTAAGCACGGTATTGACTAGTTTGTTTGGAATAAACATTTTTGGAACAAGGTAGTTTACCTCAAATGGGGCCTTGTACTCTCTTAGAAAACAAATAAATAGCGTCGAAACTGTGGTAGATTGTGAAAATAGATCTTGCCATTAATTGTTTTGAAGAGTTAGAATAAATGCAATCGATAAACACCAGTATTCCAACATCAACTCAATTTGCTCCATGCCGTTCTTCTTCTTGCAGGCGTCGCTGCCCGTGTCTCCAGTCCCCCCTCTGCTTAACAAACTACTCAAGGATCAGAATGTAACGCTGGGCTTCATTCTCAAAGGATTGCAAGGTCCGCCTGGTATGAACGGTATGGCAGGAATGTCCGGATCCCCAGGACCTCAAGGACCTCCGGGATTTAAGGGAGACCCCGGTCCTCCCGGTTTCCCAGGAAGTCCCGGTCTTCCTGGAGCTCCTGGTTTCCAGGGTCCTCCTGGTATGGACGGCGCTCCTGGCGCTCCCGGTTTACCCGGTCCTGCAGGTTTCCCCGGAGGTAGCGGTATGCCCGGTATGCCTGGTATGCAAGGTCCACCGGGTCCCCCCGGTTCTCCCGGCCCTACACCAATTAGATACGTAAGTAGAGTGATTTACTGTTTTTCATTCCTGTGTATACCTAATAATTCAATTCTGGATTCTCTCACCCTCTCACTCCAGAGAGCAATAATATTGTAAGGAGAAAATAGAAACTGATCACTCTTCTGCTTTCCTCGTACAGAACGGCACAGTGAAATGCGAAGAGGACACAGCCTGGCTGCGATGTAATGAGTACAAACACATAAGCATAATCTCCGCTTTCTGGGGAAGACGAAACTTTGGTCTGTGCACAGAGCACACAGGAAACCTACAGTACAACAAATACTGCCCGACAACGTCTCTCTTTCTCACAAAAGTAAAAGACGCCTGCGAGGGGACGACCATGTGCGAAATAAGATGCACAAAGTTCTTTTTCAACGACCAGTCATGCACAGACGTATACAAATACTTGGAGGTCTACTACAAATGCATTGAAGTAATAAACGGGCACGAGGTTGTCAACGAGGACAACTTACTCAACGCAAATTTCTTGGGTTGAGCGAGACAGCGAACGAACAAACTTTCTATTGGACGTAACTTTGCTTCGCTCTTGGCTGTATCATTTCACTTTGCTGGAAAAAGAGTTGTATTTGTAAAAACGGGCTTGCCTGAGGAAAAAAAAAAGCGAATAAATCGTATGACAACCACCAAACGGCGAAGTCCTCGAATTTCTAATTCTTCCGCGAAAGAAGACGACATACATGGTTAGATGTGTTTCAATGCCATGTGTTATATCGATTTAAGGTAGTTTTCTTTCTGTAAATGACATGATTAAATCATCTTCGTAGAATCGATCGATATTTACTCGGCTCGACTCATTATGAAATTTAACGAATACATGACTGTATTAGTGAGGTAGGGTGTCCAGTTTTAGTTTCTCGACAGTTATTTTTTTTTGTTCTATAAAGTCGCCACTAAAGCGTGTGCAATAAACTGAACAAGGTTACGGCACAGTCCCTCCCGACCTGGCAAGAGAAACCACTAAAGAACGCGATCACTAGCTGGTTAAATCGTTTGTGTATGATATAGTGCGATTTTATGATGTAATCTTCACTCTTATATGTAAATAAACTGGTAATGGAATGGTTTAATGGTGTACCCGCTAGCGTAGTGCTAGAACAGTCATTCGAAGATGATTGCTATTATTTGGTGACTGATCGAGATACATGTGAATGAAATTCTACTTCAGCAACATGAAGTACAAGTTTGTCAATAAACGACGTTACCGTTATCTAATGTATCCTTGTTCAAACGCAGCTTTGTGTTGTCTGTCAGTATCCGTCTCTAGCAAAGTGCGCTAGTTGACAAGAAGCTGAAAAACGTTGTGATGCGAAAGCAAGTCAAAATGGTGAAGATAGAATTCAACCGCGGCGCGACCGGCCTATATTGAACAAAAGGGCTTTATAGTCCCATCACGTGCAGCTCAGAAATCACTGTGAAATCTAAGCTCTAAAACGAAGCGATAAGAAGCTGCACGAGATAAATTTGCTGAGACACATTATGAAGTCACAGTGTGGCGTATAGCTGCATTACGGTAAAGCGCGCTGGCAACTGGCAACACGATAATAGCGCTGTCAAACTCGGCATTGCCTTGCCTTTTGCATGCAAAATATTCAAATATTATTATAATTACTGCCAGCAGTTTTGCCACCTACCTGCGAGACAGTGTCAAATTCCACCAATCACCCAAAACTATCTTAAATTAAGGAGGGTTCCGCCTTTTGTTGGTGCGCACATGGTTTGTTCATCATGGGACGATCGTGCTAGAAGAAGAGGGATGGGGGTAAAGGAGGCTCTTGTAGGAAATTGGAAATTATTCTAATTCTACCCCTGTACTTGACATGCAGATCGATTCTAAATGATTAAGACTAGTTTTGTTTGAATCTCCTAGAAACGTACTCATTTGTTCTCATAAAACCACCGTTGCCATGCAAAGAAAATTGAAGCCTTATTTTAGTACAACTTCCCGTTCATCGACTGCTACAATCTTTCATTAGAAAAAAATGGCGGCTATACATTTTACCATAATAACATGCAAAGCTAACACGGCCCATAAAGTACAAGGAAAGCAATATTTTTGCAATATTTGTCCCTGTGCTAACGACATAGTTTATGCTAGGCTTGAAGATGTTATCTACAACTTTTCTGTCCGTTCTTAAGAGCATTGTTAAAGTCTTCGTGCGCTAAGAATTATGGTAAATGTACCAGTCGCCATCTTTTTCTTTCCGTGGAGAATTGCTCAAGAAAGGGCTTGCTGCAAAATCTTTACTACTGAAAGATCTAAATAGTTTCCATAATGTACTGAAAACCGCTCCGTTGTCAGAGTTACAGAAGAACTTGATTTCATGTTATATTGAAAAACTTTTAAGTTTTTCTCAAGCAGCAGGAACATTCTCAATGTATTGGCAGGAATAATGGTGCGCATGCTCCAAGTCTCAATCAGTTAAACTCCTTACAGCCCGGGAAGCCTGGAAACCCCATTAGTC